GATTACAGGTGTGAGCCACCACGCCCGGCCTGTAGGTCCTATTAGTCCCTTCTGCAGAGTCTATCTGCATCCCCCAGTCTAGACTGGCCTTATGATGCCTCTCTTGAGCAGAATGTGGCAGAAGTGGTGTTCTGAGACTTCTGGGCCCAGAGAGGATTAGAACCTTTCGCTTCTTCCCTCTTGGAGCCCAGCCACCAGCCTACAAGGAAGCCCAGGCCAGCCTATGGAGGGAGAGGGCTCTGGGGTTGACAGCCAGCCTAGACTCTGAAGCAGCACCGCCCAGTGGAGCTTTAGGCAACCCACAGAACTGTGAGAATAATGCGGCAGGAATTAAAAATCTCCACTCTGGACTAACTTGTCAAGGCAAGCAAGAGACTCAGAATAGTTTGGTATGAGTTTCCTATGTGGTGTGAAAAGCGTCCAACTTACTTCATCGTCTTCATCTTCATCATCATCAGATTCAAGAACACCATCTGGTAGCTCTTCTATAAGAAAAAAAAATCAATGAATAACTGAGAAACATGGACGGAACTCTGGTCAAGGCAATCCCGTGGCCACTGCAGAGACAGGCAAACACCATCGTGAGAATGAGGTTACGGCAAAACGACCTCACGCCTCACCATTCCTGGTCACGACCGCTCCAGCCTTAGTTTGGTGTCGTTCTAAGTGATTTTAAATAGTACATCTCTCCATTTTTATCAGAACACATTTACAGTGGCATGGGAAAAATCAAAAGCCAACACAGTTTGAGGGGAATTTTGGGTCAGGAAAGTAAATGAATATTTATTTCTAGGCATCATGCTAGATGCTGCCACCCGTGTCATTTCACCTAATCCTTACAGAGATTTTGTTGACTGTTGTCCCCCATTTTACAGATAACACGTTGAGGCACAGTGAGCATAAGGGACTTGCTCATGGTCACACTCCCAGAGAGTGGCAGAGAGCTGAGATTCAAGCCGAGTCTATCTCTAAACCGGAAGATTTTTTCCATGGGGGCAGGGGTGGTGGTCCCGGCAGGGAGGGCTCCTGAAGGCTAGGGTCCGCTGCTGCGTCTGTCAAGAGTTTACGAAGGAGCAGCAAGTCAGTGACACAATGGAGTCAGAGAAAGAAC